CTTTACCTTCGTCTGACCCATCACTCTTTCTTTGTCTGATCAGATATCTCATTGGTGATCCAAGAACTGGTGTGTGTCTTGAAAATGTGGTTGCAATTATCCACAAATGATGTTTTTTCTTTTCTTTTTCTTTCCTTTTTTTTTTTTTTGAACCAGGCAGGAATCTGTGGAACGCATTGGCTTTCCACAGGCTCAGGTGGACATGCTCTGTTCACGATCTCTGTTTAATGACACCCAGTTGTACTCGGGTCACTCACGAAAAAGGAGCCTCGTTCAGATATTCATAATATAGCAAAATACCTGACATAGAATCAATACCCAGGTCCAAGGGGGTGTTTTAATTACGTGTTTATTTAAAACTCCTACTAAGAACATTTTGTGTTGATTCTGGCGGCCCCTGTGGACATAAGAGGTAGTGTTTCCACCGCTTTGTTTTATTGTTTTCAAGGGAAATTTGAGTCCAACCTGTTGGCAGACATAACTACATAGAAGTAGCCAGTCTCTTTATTGAGGGTTTTGTTTGTTTGTGTAGATCATATAGAAGTATTAGTAATAAACTGATTGTTTTATAAGCAGTTAAAAACTCCTTGTAATATGTTTAATTTATTGCATTTTAGTGGTCATCAAAGTTGGTTTGATGTCCTCTATAGTCCAAATTCTCCTTGAACAAGATGCTAAACCATTCTCAGCTTCACAGATATCAAGTGCTGCTGACCTCTGACCTGTCTATAAGCGGAATGGGGTCATTAAGATAAATTACCCTCTTGATGGGTATCACAAAAACATTTCCAAAAAGTAAATTATTTCTGACTGTGTTATAAATCATGGAGGTGCCTGGAGGTTAGGCATCTATAAAAAAAAATAGGCCAAACACAGGCAGTGAGCATGACTATAGGAGCCATTCCCCATTACACTACGGTTTTCATCAAAGTGGGTATCAGGCTACTCTGTCTGAGTGAAAGTACTGCGCCTTCAGGATGTGTGAGAGTGCTCTGAGAGGACTTTCTCAACAACTGTTTACTATTTGTGGTGTGGGACTGGATCCTCTATTTCCCCTCAACAAATATTCAGGTTTAGTGGGAATGTGCCTGCATGCATAAAGCTTAGAATAACAAATTAACTAACGGAAAATACATATTTCATGTACTTTGTGTGAATGCTGTTTTACTAAGCAGAAACTGGGGAAGTTAGGTACTGCAGGAACACCATTTTAAGTGAAAACAACTGCTACTCCAGTTCCAACTTAAACTAATGCACCCTTAAAGGTCCAGTGTGTAACTGTTAGGAGGATCTATTGGCTGAAATGGTATGTATGGTGTGTTTTCATTAGTTTATAATCACCTGAATATAAGGATTGATGTGGTTTTGTTACCTTAGAATGAAGCATTTTTATCTACAGAGCTGAACCATGTTGAACTGTCTTTTTTTCTACAGTTGCCCAGAACGGACTAACCAAACACTGGCTCTAGACAGGGCCTCTCACATTTTTTGTTTCGTTTGTTACCTTTGGACGGAGCCAGAGTCGCCCCTCCTGTCTTTATGCTAAGCTAAGCTAACCCGCTAACTACTAGCGATTCCTTTAAGGTCATTTGGACTTTCAAAGCCACACAATTAACCTCACTTCAATTCTACTGTTACATCCATACAGGCTACAGGGATTTAACAAGCAGGCAGATAACTTTCTAGAAACATCCTAGGATTTTATTCCCGCTTCTCAGTTATTGAGCATATTCAGATCTTGGTAGACCTTCAACGTAAGATCGGATCAAACCAGCTTCATATTCTCGCAGAAGTTCCAGACAGATTTAAGACCAGATCACAACAGTCTTGACGACAGGAGCACGGGCTTAATAACACTAAAGACAGCAGATTTCCTCTTGATCTTGAAAATTTGTTGGAAACTCTGAAGTCCTAAAATCTGGTGCATGCTTCCCGTAATATTTCAAATTGATCTTGTGAGCTTATAAGAGCAGCAGTATATTAAACATCACATTAAGTGCCATAATATGACACCCTACTTGATAATATTCAGACACTGGTATGCTTTCAGTTCTTTTTTTCCCTATATTTATGGATTACCCCACTCCATGTTAAACTAACTGATAACATTGTGGATGCAAGGGTCTGCAGACATGATCATACACAAATCTGTTTGAACGTTTTATTCATGTACCCAACAAATGCTGAACCCAGCTGTGGTCTTGTTTGAATGAGAAGCAGAAACAATAAAAGCTTTGGACCAGTTGAAATTTGTTGCACATGCAGTCTCATGAGTCAATGCCAAGATTACATGTGTATGCTTTCAATATGTAGACTATTTCTTTCCAGCCAATGTTCTTTTTCTTCCTCATATAGTGTGAAATATATTGCGGCTTGTTTTGTCTTGGAGTAAAACTGCTGATTTTGGAGGGCTATTTTATTTTGTCTCAGTTACTGAGAGCCACATGTTAAAGCTGATACTTTCTCACTTGAGTGATTTAAACTGTTGTAAGTCCTATAAATAAGATGAAAAAAGCTGAGAATTAAGCACCTCATAGAGTTACAGAGCTTTCAACCCAGTGGGATTGTTTTCTTTACATTTATAACTCACTCAGGTAATCCCACCAGACTTCAACAAGTTGTCAAACTGCTTCATTAGTGCTTTATGCTCTAATAAAGCCTGCAGTAAATAAACAATAACTTGTTTGTTGCACCTAAACAGCAAGAAAGGGGCCCTGAGGTGGCAGTGGGAGGACTGGGGATTCACACTGCTGAGCTGGTGAGTTTGCGAGCATAAAACTTTGGGGGGAATTGGAGGGGAGGGCTGCGCACGTGCGCGTCTCACCGTCCAAATAATCACTCCAGCCTGCATCTCAGCTGTAAGTGCTTGGGGGCCCGTGCAAAGGAGGCCCCTTATCTAAACAGAGAGCTGAGGGAAACAGGGGGGCCCTATGGACTGTCAAGGACCACGGAAGTATTCAATCCTGTTGTGACATGCTCACCTCGATTCAAAAACAAAGCCTAGATTCCCCGTAACCTGCTTTCAGCTTCACATATGGACACACACATGCGCGGGGGTGACCCACCAGACAATGTACAGCGCAAGAGAGGAGTACAGGAAGAAAAGAGAAAGTGATGGAGCTGAGAAATAGAGATGAAGGAGGAAAAGAAGAAAGGCAGCGGATCAGGGACATCTGAGGTGTTCGTCCGTCCAGCCGGCGGGATGATGCAGCAGCACTGGTATTCTCTGACACCATACCTTCCTCCGCACGTGTTGCACCAGATACATGGTTCTCATCATAAGGTGGAAAACTGGCCCTCTGCCATCACCTCGCTAGCTACTTGCCATGTGACTTCATACCCAAAAGCCTGATTTTCCCTGCTCCCACCATCCCACACATGTGTTTCAAACGTGTACATATAGGCACACAGACAAAAACAAAGTCATCATATGCATTCTCTCATTTATTTATAAGGGAAACGGGGGCCGTTGGGACGATTGATTTGAAGCGTTAAAGAAGACCGCGTGGATTGAAGCTTTGCATTGCCCCAAATTTCAATAAAACATCTGCTCCTAAATAAACATCACTGCAAGGATGCAAATTATAGCCTTGGCGAGGATCCGCAGACTGAAATGCAACGAAGCGAAACATCCATCACTTTTTCCATCCTCATGAAGTTAATTAATTTTTATGAGCGTTTTGCTGTTGCTCTTATTTTCTTATTCAGGGGTGGCAGATTGGAGTATGCTCATTTTTCACCTTTGTTTACACTCAAGGCATATTGGCTTTGTCCAAGTGCTCCAATTTCAAAAGTGTAAAACTGAAACACTTCAGGCATTTTTCAAAGACTTTAACACCGGGCAGAAGTACACATGCTCGCACGATAGTGATATAAAGAGCTATCCACTACGCAGGGGCTCTAAAGCAGAAATGCTGTTGCAGAGACTACAGCAATGAAAAAAAATGGAAATCTTCAGAAGACAAAGACCTAACAAAAACAGGGTTGCTGGGCAATTTCAGGTCTTGACGTCTCAACCTACACACTTTATTGCGAGGAACGTCACTACCTGTCAGCCTCGGCGAATGAAAAATGCCCCACTCCAAATTTCATCCAACAGTTATTCAATCATTCGCCATTTTCCACTTTCAGGGGTAATGAGGACCAGGTTCACGAAACAAAGTGCGACTGAGGGAGAGAGGAGGAAAAATTAGGCCAGCAGATAAGTGATGTGCGGCAGTAGCAGCAGCTCCTACGTCTACAACGGAGTTCTAACATCACGGCCTAGGTGAAGCTAGAGTAAAGCCTCAGTCTGCTGTAGGCCTGGAAGCGACTTCAAAGTGGAACAAAGTCTTAAAACCTTGAACAGGGAAGAGGAGAGTTAATTGAGAGCATATCATTTCCAGATGGCCCACAAAAATCGGCGAGAGATGATTAAACTGCTAAGAAGCAATGGAAATCCCTGGCAATTAAGCCAGATAGCTGCCATATGCACCAGACTAGGTTAAACTGCTTCAGACTCCCTTTTTTTCCCCTCCGGCTTGTAGATCCGACATTCATCCTGTTTCATCACCACAAACAGCCTAGGCAAAGATTGTGCTCCCATCCGATGGACACCGCTTATGGACGTACACATGCTCACCGTGGCTTCACAGTACAGCCCCAACAAGGGAGCTGGTCACAGAGGGGAAATTGGTCAGAAATTATTAAAACAATCCCCTGCAGATAATCCACAATGCTGCTGCCCGTCTGGTGTTCAACCTCCTCGAGTTTTCTCACACGACTCCACTTGTCTGCTTCACTGGAACCCTGTTGCTGCTCATATCCAGAATCAGGGCAAACTCATATTGGGTTATCGCATCGGCCGGTTGAACAACACGTTGTATGAACCAGTTTGTTTAACACTCACCCTGGCTTTCACTGCCTGCAGAAGGCTGAAAGCCCTCCTTTCCAGAGTACGCCTCTCATTCCTATAGAGGTTGAATATATTTATTGTAAAATACACTCTAGACACAGCCAAGTGACGCTCATTCATTAATTCATTTATTCAAAGATCAAAGATCAAAAGGTGGAAGTTTAAGAGGAGGTAGGCAAGACAGCTGTGATATGAAGTAAATAATATTTTTCTGTCACTGACAAGCCACCTGACTCCATTTGAATCATCTCAATACAGCGAATTCCACCATTCCTGAGCTCCATCCAGGTTCAAATAATGCCAAGACTAAAATTATTTGACCCAGGCCTTTTCCAAGGACATATTATGACAGGCAGCCACGCTCTGCTCCTTTCATGGTCACACAGCGCTTGAGTATCAGATGTAATTCACATGGATATTTCTGCCTTTGGAACTGCGCTGAGCACAGGTCTCAATGCAATCCACCTTTTGGAGAGAAGACGCTCAGCGGTCATGGAAAAATATGCCTCCCTTCAAAAAAAGGCAATTTCCTGCAATCACGGTGGCTTTACTGTACTTAGTTAATCTAAATAAAAGGGAAGGTTATTTGTATTTGTCTAATTTGATTAACTGGAAGAATTGTGAAGATTTTTCCATCCAAACCATTCCAGTCCTGGTACACAGAGAAACAGTGTGTTATAAACTTGGTAGCTTCTAAATGGTGTCAGAAAAGGCATCAAGTCATGTTGTTTTTATAGGATGTTGATTGATTTTAGTCTGCCAACATCTTCATCAGCAGTCCGCCTTCCGCTTCACCCTCATGACAGAAAGTAGAGGCGCTACGTTTTGTATCCTTGGACATCTCTGGGCTTTGTGGTTGCCAGGAAGAGCTCAAACAAGAAACAAATAAAATTGAGTGCAGCAGACCACAAAAATGACAAACCACTTTTTGAAGAGTAAATTCTCCGTCATGACCTCCCCTTTCCCTTAACCAACATGACTTTAACGAGGAAAAAAACACCCACAGAGACTCTTAACATCACCAATCCATTACTCGCGACACATTCCAGGAGTTATTTTATGATGAAGTGGTGAAATTGTTTTGGTGTGCTCACTTTTCCCCGAACGTGCCTGGTCTCCTTTGACATAGTAGCCTAAATTGAACGACTGACCGTCTATGCACAGTCAAATAGGCACTGAAATGATACAATGATGATTCAAACCATAACAGAGGATTTCATCTGTGATCAATGACTCTTTACAACCTACAACCAAACTGACTTGCATCGGAACGTCCTGGGTTGGGACCGGCTTTCTGTCAGGAGTTTGTTCTCCTTGTGTCTGTCTGGGCTTCCTCCCAAAGACGTCCAGGTTAGTTATGGAGACGGTGTAAACGTGCATGTAAGTTATTGCCTTACTATGTACGTCTTGAGGTCCAGCCCCGTCTTGCAAACATCCATATCCAGTTCACTCCTACTGAAACGGAAACAATGGACAAATTCAAGAATACGTTAAGTGTTTTCCCTGAAACCTCTAGTTGGCGGGTCAGACCACGCAGTAGTTCAACTACAAATTTACGCCAATGGAAATTATTCTAGCAATGTGCCATTACATTGTTTTGGACAATATTACGCTACCAGACCAGACATAGCAGCAGTTCTCGCTCAGTGTTTCCATTTGTGCTTCCTCTTCTCGATTTCACACATCCCCACATCGGAATTACATCCTTTTTCAGGGCTCAGTGTTAGTGGAAGTTTTCTTGAACACATACGTCTGGCCCTGTGATATATTGGTGACCTCTCCAGGGTGTCTCCAGTGCCTTCAGCCCCGTGGGATATGCTCCAGCCCTCTGCGACCCTGCACAGGATATGCTCATTTAGATAAATAATAGATGGTTATGAAAGCATATCTGAACATATTTGCAAATTGCTAACGGCGAACGCCAAAAGATCATACCAATTTGTACTTGAACGTTCACTGTCAGCATAATTCAGCCCTAAAACCAGACAAGAACATTAATACTGGTATATTCCGCAAAATAATGAAAATGTGAAAGTTAAATGCGGTGAAGGATGGGAGGCGAAAGTTGGACGTGCTACACGGCCATCCACCACTCCGACCTCTAAAACCTCACTTGCCTCCATATAAATCAGACTACTTCCTGCATTGGCACCGAACGTTGGCACTGTGGGCATAAATCACAAGGTGGATGAATCCTCCAAGGTGGGCATCATTTTCTAGGATACTGGGCTGCATATTTCATGTTTTCCTAAGATATTTAGTGAAAGGTCATGGCTTTGACTCTTCAATATTTAACCAAAACCACACTCTTTAATAACCTTGAAGTGTTTTAACATAAATCTAACAACATGTTGGACAACCATGGTCTCTGGTAGTCCGCGAACAGCTAAAACATTTCCTCAAAAAACATTTGACAAAATAAATAAGTAGTACATAAAAGTTTTTTTTTTTTTTTGTAGAAACGGATGCACAGAAAAAATCAGGTCGCCACAAGTCACTTACTGGATTTTTGTGCTGCTGCGGTGCTCAGCTGTGGAAAAATCAAACCAGGGCACCATCACAGCTGGAGGGAAAACTTTGTTGACAAACACAGAGCATGGTGATCCTCATTTCTTCCATCAGCCCCCATTTCATGAATCTTCTCTCTGTCTGCTCCTGTCTCCGTTGGTCTGGGTGATCCCACACAAATAAAACCAGAGCAAACCATAAACCCTTTGTGCTGGCGGAGCCCTAACTGGGTCACAACTCGTCCTCATCTTTGCCTGTCTTCATTTCTTCTGATGTCACCCAGGGAAGAACATACGCTCGGAACACGTGAAGATCCGTGCATCCGCTTGGGATGGAGCTTTGCTCATAATCCCAAAAGTGTGGATGATAACATTCACAATGCTCTTAAGGTCCAAACACTCTCTGCTCATTCCTGCCAGCAGTAATTCTAAAAAGGGTCAGAGGTGCTTGGAACAAAACTCATCACGTACTTAAACAAGAGGCTTTTTTCTGTTTATATTTCAACAGCTCTTCTGCTTGTTTTCGCAATTCTAAGTAACCATGAAAGTACAGTAAGAGGCCCGGCCTGCAGATATGTTGTCCTGTAATGCGCTGTGTCTCTGGCTTTTACTGCAACCATGAGACATATTAAAATACTATCCTCTCTAGGGGCATAATAGCTGTCATTCAGTCATAAATAAAATTGTTTTTGTAGCAAAAATAAGTACGAGTCTGTATTTTCTTTTGCCATAAAACACAGAAGGGGGTGTTTTCTCTGGTTATTTCTGATGGCACACACTTATAGTGTCGTATAGCTTAAGACACAAACAATAAATAAACGTGTATATATGAGGCAAAGCTTGAAACAGCAAAAAGCTGCTACTGCGCTGCACTCTGCGTTTAAACTTTCATCCGTGATGTGAAAGCAGGTGTACACATCTTTTCTATATATGCATGTAGATTTTTTTGTAATGTCCTCTATACCATATATAGTGTGTTTGTCTGACTTTCATCCTCAAGAAGACAAGCCATGCCAAAATTCTCAGTTTCTCATATTTAGATCTTCCTTTATACATTTATTTAACAAAGTTCTCATATCTAAAAAATGTCATCCTCTGTATCAAAATGACCCATGTGAGTGTTTTCTGATCTCATATCCAATGGTATGGTTCAGTTTAGGAAAATGGACAAGTATAAGGGTTAGTGCAGTGGCGGAGACTGAGGGTCAGAGGTGAAATTGTGATGCATTTGTCATGAAACAGCTTAGTCAGGGTTAGGATTATCCCCCTAGAGGGCACTTTATCATGTTTTATCTACCATAGGGGCATCCAAGAAGGCACCTTTGCAGCGTTTTCTCAAACACAGGGGTACCAGGGAGGTGCATCAGAGGGCAGTATAAGGAACTTACAGTAGTTCATCGAAGGCAAAAGCTTTAAAAAGAATTTGGATGCATATCGTTTCAGTCACGGAGGGGAGAGAAACATGGAGTTCTCCTGCTGTGTGTGTGACATTCAGTCCAGTTCTTGTGCCTCCTTAAGTGCTTTAATATGGCTTATTGTTGGCAGACCTTGGTAAACGGCACCACGGGGCATGCTGGGTCTCGGGGGTCCTTTGAGGAAACAGGCACGGAGGAGGACTAGCCTGGCACGCCAGCCTCCCTGCTGCGCCCTCAAAGTGTAGCTCCAACCCACCCGGCAGGACTTCAAAGCACCTACCATCAGTCTAACACACACACACACACACACACACACACACTAACATCTGACTCAGATAGCTCGAGAGAGTGTGTGTGTGTGTGTGGGGAGAATAATGTTCATTGCTTGAGTGAATGCATTTATCACCATGTGTGCATGTACATAATGGTGTAGTATCGGCCTGTGCGAGCACGGGTGTGTGTGTGTGTGCGCGCAAGACAGCAAAACTCGTGATGTTTAAAGTGTTTGTGAGGGTTTACCCATGCGTGGTCACCTCTCAGAACTTGTCTGTGGACAGTAAGTAGCCAACAGAGTACTAATTGGTGCGCGGGCAAGGATGTAACAATGAGTTTAACTATGTTTACAGAAGACAAAAGAAGAGTTCATTTTTAAGACATCCATTTGATTTCTTTAAGAGGCCCTGTTAGCAGTGATTCCTGCCAGATTGACAATCCTTGCGAGCACAAGAACACATTTCATTTTCCTGCAAAAGCATATGATGAGGACATTGTTTCTGTATCTTGTCTAATAAGGCAGCGCTTGCTTCAGGCTTCAAATCTCTCCAACTGAGCTTCTTGTATTGACAGCTTCAAACTCACCAAAACAGAACCAGTTCTTTACCCTTGCAATGCAGTTGGACCCGCAAGGTTATGTGAGAATCCATCTTGTCAGGCTTCAAGCTTAACCTCAGAAAAAAAAAAAAACTTCACTAGCCCTATATCTCAGCAATTCATTCATTTATATGAAGAAAACTAAATTAAATTGTTATTTTTAAAGTTTTGATTATTATTGAAGAGCTACACTTAGCAGACATGATCACGTGGTTATTATTTTTATTCACTGAATCTTCACTAGATGATTTGAAATGAGACACAGGATTTCATAATAAGTTCCTAAAATATCAGATATTTGTGTTCACAGGAAATAATCTGATTGAAATTGATCCAAATTGCTTGTTTTACAGTTATGTCTTTCACTGCTTGTGTTCATTGTACAGTTTATCAGTTGTTCTGTACTGTTATTGAGTATAATATGAAATATCCATAAAATATGTCACTTAGTCAAAGATTGTCAGTTCACTCAATGATAGAAAAGGGGTTCCTTAAGGGAAAAAAGCAATAAAAGTAACACAACAATGGTTAAATTTCAGTCATTTTGGACTGCACTGATCATAGAAATGTTCAACCATGCAAAAGTACAAGTGTGTGTCCTTTTTAGTCCCAAACGAACAGCACAAGCAGAAGAAAGGAGAAAGGAGAGGAGAGTAGATGAGAAGCGAGGATAGTAGAAACGGAGGACAGGGAGGTTTTCTGAGGGGATGTTGATGGGAGCCTGGCACCGGCGGGGTGGCGGGAGACTGCAGGAGCGGCATGTTCACAGAAAGTTTCTCTGTGGCTCTTTATCTGTGGGCTGGCAGCACTTCAATGGAGGCCTTATCACCATAATGGACACAGGGGAGAGGACCCGACGAGAGAACACACTCAGCACATAGTCAAGCACACAATGAGCAACTACGTGCACGCCAATGGATCTATGTGTAGGAGACACACACACAGATACGCACGCTCTTTCCTCGTCTTTTTTACTTTTTCTGTTTATTCTGCGAGCCAACTTTAAGTTTCACTTCCGTTTTGTGTGTAGTTTATCTTCCTCTACATGATCGTATAGAACTTGAGAGGGTCTTAACGCAAGATTTCACCCCACTGGAGTTCATTGCATAACATCCTTCACTTTCCAGGCTTTGCATCCGACTTCCTCCAAGGCTCTTGAAAGTGTGTGCATTAAACCTCAAGAGACAATGTCAAGACAAGAGTCACTTTAGATAGGACTTCCTCCCAGCTGCTTCTGTTGATGGGACAGTGACCTGCACTTGCGGATAGCAGATTTGGATGGTCAGAAAGAGACATTGGCACTCAGGCACTGAATGAAGGGTGGTTGAGAAAGAGCAGAAGGGGGGGGAGAGACTAATTTAGAGTTGAGACAGGGACAAAACGTGAGGGCAAGGAACGAGGCGAGGGAGATGGATGAGTAGGAGAGCTGACAGAAACAAAAATAATGCTACACAAGGAGGAAGTGAGTAGATGAAGAAGAGTCCGGCCAACATAAACTGTTATGCTCCGGCCCCATTAAAACACCCTCATAAGTCCATGTGATGGCCCGGCGGTGTACAAGAAGAGTGCACAACAAGTGCAAGCCTTTGTAAACATCTGAAAAAGAGAAGAGGAATACATGGAATTGATTCAATAACATGCTGTTTTATCTTATGGAATAAATCACTCGAGGAGAAATGGTTTCCTCGCCAAGGCGTCTGACCCCAGAGGGATTTTGAATGCTTACACCAGCTGGGAACATCTGAGTGTGAATCCTTGTTTCCTTTGCTTCTAAATGAGTCCAGGCTGTTGTTGCGAATAAAAATGTGTCTTGGTCCGTTTTTGCCTGCATGGTGAAAAAAGGGTTAAGAAGTCTGTGGCTTCACCACATCGTCCTCACAAGACTGCGAGGACATGGAGAAAAGGGGGGGGGACGGAGTCCAGGAGCCACCCAGGCACTAGTTGTTTACCCCTGTAGCAAACAAATCCCCCCATCTGGAGGCTGGTGATCAGTGAGGATGGAGCAGGAACACAGGAGGGCGAGGCCAAACATTGTGTCCATGTGTTTACAGGCAAAACTGACTATTGAAGTTTATGTTACAGTAAAGAGGGTTATTCACTGATTTATCCAAGGAAATACAAACATATTCATACCACTCAGATGTTTCTAGTTAAATTGGTCACTGGCTGGAGTATGAGTGAGTTAATCCTTGTTTGCATTTACTGGCAAGACTTCCCTCTGATGCATCATTTATTTAAGAGTTCTGCTCCTATAGGAAAGGCTAAACATGGCAAAATACACGGCATACACTATATTTTAAACTAAAAGAACAGAATGATAGTGTGTCAGGATAACATTGTTTGTATGTGTATTCCAAAACAAATAAGTTCATCACAAAATGGATTAATATGACTGTTTTTGGATCTACCATGGCTAAAGTTAACGTTAGTTTAGGTTTAGATGACTAAATCCCATGAATATGAGGAAACATTGACTGTCAGAAGGAAAAAAGATGCAAACTGTGGTTTCCTTTCAACTTTGGTGACCAAACCCTACCACCCCTACCTCCTATCTAAGAGGTTTTGCTAAACAATGTTGTGCTACTTGCTCTTGACCGACATGAGTCATAATTCGGGTCCTAAAACCCTGACATAGACATTATTTGCACAACAGTATGATTAGGTTAGGCAGAGATTGTGGTTATGACAATGGTTATGGTTGTTAAAGAGAAAATTGGCCACCAATCTGTTGAATGATTGCTAAATGTAGTCAACTGAATCCGGATATTATGCTGCAAAACCAATGCTGTTATTTTTCTGATCAGTTACTTTTATTTTGAAAGTTGCACTGTGATCTTAATTGCCGTGTCAATTATTGCATCAATATTAGATGACATGGGGAGTGAGTCAAATGCTTGCATATGCCATGCAGCTGATGAGAAAGTATCAAACATCAGAGTTCCTGCATCTCCCAAAGGACACTATGACGAATAATAATAGTCAGCAAGTCGCTGGGTTCCAAAGTCTGGCCAATATCCAAACCCAAACAGCAACAAAAAAGAGGTCAA